AAACAAAATGTATTATAATAAAATTTAAAAAATATATATTTTTGATATAGAAATAAATATCGAAAATATTTTTCCTGTAATGAATTCCTAATTAAATTCTTTATTAATGCAATTATTATATTCGGAATTTTAAATTTTTATATAAAATTATATTCTTAATTTTTAGAAAGAAATTAGTAATAAACCAAGCAAACATTTTTAATCGTATTTTTAATTTATTTATTTTAAAATATATGCTATCGATCTCAAATTAGTAGTACCTTGCCTCTGAAAACAACAGAGTCATGCCGGTCATCTATATAACTTTGTTCCAGAAAATATTTTAAACTTAAACCACGTGACTTCCTATCTAGGCCTGAAGTTCCTATATAGTGACCTCCTGTCCTTAAAGTTCCCATATCTGGTCTCTACTTCTACCTATTTAACACCGTTCTAGAGATTAAGAAAGGAATACAGACAGTGGGAATTTATAAGTCTACATTTTTTTCATTGCAGTCCATTTAATATATTTAATTATCTATAAGTAATATAAATAATTAAGTATATTCAAAAATAAAGTGAGTCATTCTGTAGACATAATTTAATTACTTTTTATTGTATCTGTTAACCTTTACTACGCTTATAAATAATTATAATAATTAGAGTATACAATATTTTATTAATCACGTAATTAATTTAATGACAAATCGTAATCCTATTTTTTTAAATTTCTAATTAAATATAGATCATAAACATCATAACTTATATATTAAATAAGATTTAAAAAAAAAGATTAAAAATGTTATATAATTTTTGATTATTTTTTAGGTAAGAAGGAAATAAAAAAGAATTAGGAAATTTATTATTATTGATTCTATGTCATAAATTTTGATGTAGAAAAATTTATAAAGGAACAATCCTCGATTTTATATTTCCAAATGACATACGAATGGCATTAATGATTCTTATCTAAGTGGTAAGATTTTCGAGAGGGTGTTTCTTCGTATCGTCAGCCATCACGATTTGTCACGTGAGACACGATCGATAGACATCGACGACATTGAAAGAAATCCTCAAATCGTTTCGATTTTTTCCATTAAGTCTATTGCTCAATAACAATAACTTACTAACTGAAGAAGCATTTAGTACTTTCCACTGGAGACAATAAATAATATCGACTTTGTCGTGTCGTGATAAGAGGAAAAATAAAAATAATGATTTGTTTTTCTCTAATTTTCAATGATTTAAATTGTTATTTTAAAAAAAAAATCCAATCATTAACACGAGCTTAAGTACGTAATGACTTTTTTTCCTTTTTATTTATGTGCGAATAAGTACATTTAATCTTAACATCTTCGAGTAATTTAATTTGATTTTTGTTTAAACATATATAGAACAAATGATAGAATTATCATTTTAAGCTTAGTTGTTAAAAAAATTGTATTAAAGTGATGTTTTTGAATAATTTCTTAAGTCACTAAATCTCTTTTTTTCATTACTAAAAAACAATTAAATCGCCGTTTTACGTTAATTCTAATAAATGTACTTTATAGAATACAATTAAAATTTGATTAATTTAAAAAATAAGTTATAAAGTTAAAAAAAATAGAAAATGATTATTGTAATTTTGGTTTAAATATAGAAAATATGGAATGATTTATCGATAATTTCCGTCGAAAAATTATTTTTCTGTGCATCTAAGAAGCCATTTTCCTCATTTTATCACTATATAATGCAAATAACAGGTTATTTATCAAACAGGTGATGAGATAGAAAAAAGAATTTCTATCAGCATTTGTTCATTTGTTTGAAGCACGGTAGATAATCTCACCAAAGGTGAAATTACCCCCTTCCAGGTAGCACTCATGCATAACAATTAAATCGAACTCGTACTCGAAACTTCCATCTGGAAACTAAGCATGGAAATATATAAAATTCTGACCACTTTACATAATAAAATATAAGCAAACTTGTCTCGATTCTTTCTAATAAAGCTACATTCGATAGATCTTACTTTATTTTTCTTAAATTTTATTTTATAGTTGATAGAATTTATCGTTGAAACGATTCGATTTAACTTAATCGAAAAATAATGTAAAGATAAGACGATTTTTACTAAATTTAATCTCTATACACGACTTAATACAAGTTTATTACATTTCTTTACGAAATTGTTTAATACTGTTTTTTAATGATTTAATGGAGAATTTAAAAAGAAAAAATAGCTTTATGCATAGGTAAAGTAATGATAAAGTATCTTATAAATAAAATATACACAAAAACTTTTTAATAATTTATTTTAAATTTAAATTGTAAAGGTTTTTAGTTTTTAAAATTCCGTACATAAATGATACGGAATTATAAACAGATCTTTGGGAACAGCAGAGAAATTTTCTGGAAAGAGAAAACAGTGGATCGTTGGGTTTAGAATGAACAACAAATAAATCGCAACCATTTCTGTGTTTACCTTTGCTTTCCAGAAGAAAAATAAAAATAAAAAATCAATTGAAGAATTGACTTTAAAACAAGAAAGACAAGTTTCAGTTTTTTTCNCAGATCAATAACTGATATTTATTTACTAATTTCATAAATTATTTTTAAAAATATAACTTTCTTAATAAAGAGTAAAGCCAAAAATATAATTTATTTATTAAAATTTGAATTAAAATCTATTTTAATTTCAATAATCTATGTGTTTACATTAATTTAATAGAATTTTGAATTTATTTCTGGTCATAAATGGGTATTTTGTTATTAGATAATTCATTTCCTATAATGATTATAATTAAAATTACAGTTATTTAACAAAAATATAAATAAAAATATGAATATTAATAATATTATATTAATATACACCTGAGATATATATTTTTAGAAATTTGTTACTAATTTTTTAATACCGTTTTTAAAATAATTTATTCAAATTAATTTTTGTAAATATTTAAATCATATTTATAATTATTATTTATTTTATTGAACTGAATTCATAATTTTAATAATGAATATTCAATGAAGTAATTATTTATTAAACAATTATTATATTATTTTAAAAATATTGTATTTCTACAAACTAATTTTAATTATATTATCCCCTGTAAAAGTACTTTCACTTTAAAACAAGTAAGTTATGCAGTGAAGTTTCCTTCCCGTATATAGTCACATCATATAATTATGTAAGTAGTTATGCATACATTCGCTCATTAAAATATTTATAAAAATGTTTAAATCTCGTAAATATATTTTTATTTAACAGTACATATATATATATATAATCGTAATTATATAATAAATTTTATTAAAAATTTAAATATTGTTGTTCTGTCGGTATATTCCAATGTCAAAATTCGGTTGTACGAGTGGTTACCAAGGAAACGACATGTTCTCGATCGTTATCAAAATATATAACTTACCAAAATTAAGTTAATTATTTATACGATAGACATTCAAAAGTTTGTAACTCGTTTCAATGCCAGAATTTACCTATTAAACCACGCAAACCAGAACTATGAATTTTATCTAATTTGTTTAACAGTAATTTTATGTAAGATTTAAATGTAAAGTTTAATTTCTTACTTACGAATACTTCGTGAATATTATACAAAATACATAATATTAAACATTACACCCTTAATGTTAGTCTATACGTGAGAATTACTGATAAGTTACTGCACATTTATTACTATTATTATGAATAAATATTACTTTTTTAATAAATTTTCCGAAAGAGATTACGGCATAAAATAATTTTATATTATTGTTTTAACCTTAAGAAGATTTTAATTTAAAATAATTCAAATTTAACCGTTTGCATCGATCAGTTTATAACGGGACCATGTTAATCGAGTGTTAGAGGTAGACAAAGTTTGAAGTTTGGTGAAGAGGTTGGCATATTTTGGCGACAACCTTTGGTCGTTTGTTGACGTACACGTATACAATGCGCAGACGCGATTCCTCTTTTATAAGAGGAGCAAACGTCGCTCGGTACCAGCAGACTTATTGCTTTTTATCGAAGTTATGAACGACGTACTCGACGTGCGAGACTTAAATCAACATTCTCCACGTCTCTGCTATGGAAGTGGAGTGTAAAATCTTCTTCCTTTTTAATTTCTGTGAGTTTGTGATATCGATTTCTGCTATGGCATCGCCGAGAAATGATCTTCGTTAGCAGGTGAGTTTATGTCCAGCTGTCTATGCTCAGCCATTGTTCTCTGCACGATGTTTGCTATAGGTAGAGTGGCATGTGCATACAAATTCCCTACACTTTAATTTATTTACAAACCACAGTTCGGTTCTTATATTAGCAGCCGACATTAATATATCGCTTAAATTATACGTATTCGCGTACGATACACTTCGAGTAATTAGTACAAGTAATTTACGAGTTTGTTTATATGTAAAATGATTTTTTACGAACATTTTTGCATGCATTAACGTTCCAATTTCCATATTAAATTCATAAATTATTTACAATTTCGTTATATATATATATATATAGTTGACGAATGATGCGAATGTGTTAAATATTTAAAACATTTTTATACATTAAATGCGTTCATATAGAGTGTGTATTTTTGTAATATTTGAGGAAAAGTCCTCGCTACTTATCTCGAAACGTGTTTTACTTAATTAATTCGAAGAATCGAAGAAATTAAATGAGTTGTGATAAATTCGGTCTAATGAAGTACGTTCGAACGAATTTACAGAACAGTGTAATTAATTTTGGAACTTTGAAGAAGGTGGAGAAGATCTCAGGAATTATTCCTTTTTGCTAAATGACGCTAAAGCAGAAAAAGAAATTAAAAAATTCTTTAAAACTAATCGCCTTTATTTGCAAAAGTTGTTTATGCAATATTCATGAATTTGCATTAACTCGAGTCGTCTTGATTAAAGTTAATTTTGCATATTTACGCAAAGTTTCCTTATCTATAAAAAGGATAATAATAAAATAAAAGAATTCTCTTATTGGATTGTCATAGAAACGTGGCAATTTCTACAATTCTAACTCATTAATTGCATTTCATGCATTCTCCAATGCTAGATACCAACTGCTCCCGCTTATCACTTGTATGATAAATTAATTTTACCAAGCTAACAAATCGACTTTCTTGAATTTTTAAACTGATTTATCTATCGATAACCGTATAAATTTATTAAATAAATAAAATTCAGAACTCGAAATTCTACATCAATTTTTAATCGGTAAAGCTCCTATTTTTTATGCAGAGAAATGCATTCCATACAAGATTTCGTAAAGGTATTACCTCACGTTTACAGAAAAACGTCAGATGCAAAACAAATTTTTGAATAAGGAGTTTCTCGCGTTACACCTTTCTTCAGATAAAATGTCACGTAAAGTTTCGTGTAGCTACAATTACTTTTATGATTTAGAATTCCGGATATATATGTATATATATATGAAAAAAATATTTTGATAATTTAGAATAAAAAAAAGGCACTTCCACTTTATTACCTTATAATAATATTATGAAATGTAATAGTTTTTGACCTTCTATTTGTCGTTTTAATGTCGGATCACGTCCAACATTCTTATTGATTTTTCTTTCCAATTTCTACGTGTACATCGCAATATCGATAAAACGGATCGACCGGGATAAAAATCATTTATATCTATTTTACTATCACAGTTTTACTTGTTTATCAATGCTGAAAGTTTATAAAAATACTAATAAATAAATAATACACGAGCTCTGTAGCAGCATCCTTTCATTACTTAAACTATTGAAGAACTCGCTTTTAAGTCGCATCTCGGATAAAATTAAGAGTAAACATCATCATAATGAAACTTAATTAGGTATGCATAATAAAAGAGGATCGATAGTGTTTTTAATAATGGAATTTGTTCAATAAGTTCTAGAATTTATTTGAGTTTATTGCTACAAACTTCGAACAATTCGAAAATTTTTTTTCTTGAGTTTATTTACGTTTATAAAATTAAATTTATTTATTTTATACTAATAAACACTAATTATATTGCTGAATATTGTTTTATATTTATGGAATAACTTTAAATGCGATGATTAAAGAGTTAATTTATATTAAGTTTACTTGGAAAGATTGTGGAAATGCTCCTTAAATTTTATTTAATAAAGTAATTAGATAAACTTGAAATATATTTTAACAACTTTATGAATTTCCTAATGTAATGTTTTAAAGAAAAAGTAATAATTTTGGTAGTTTACTAATGCAAACTTCCATCAATGCATCAGCATCGGCATCAACACAAGTCTGACGTTTATCTTCTATTAGTTCCTTCTCCGACGATAAGAAAAGAAACTAAATCTATATTATATATTTATTTATATATATATATAATTATATAATTTAAATCGAGATGCAAACTGCAAATGAAACTATTAAAATTCGCGTTAATGATAGTAAATTCTATGGCGTGCAGAAATATCTCTTGTAAATTGATCGTAAGCATAAGAGAAGCATTATAGTGGATCGAAATATCGACTAAAGTCTGGAAAATTTTGTTCGATTTTACATTATAGATGAAATAAATTCGCTCTTTCATCGAAATATTACATAAATTTCAGTTAAAGTTGGTGTTCCACTTTGCATTTTTTGAATATGCAAAATGGAACACCAACTTAAATCTCCGTTTTTCTTTAAAAGTAAGAACTTTTTATTCTTAAATGCATCCTAAAATCAAACGAATGCCAAATTTGTGGTTCCAAATATTAATTTTTTGGCATATTTCTTACTACTGACCTACTTAAATTGAATGGATCTATTATTAAAAGTTAAAATGTAAAACGATTAATGTCTAATGATGATGATGATTTTTAAAAATTTTAAATGGTAAATTTGTTATTTTGTATTAATAAATATAAAAAGAATTGTTATTTATAAGAAAGTTAATTTTTTATATATATTTTAATGGAAAATGTATTATTTTACTCCAGAAAAGAAAACTAAAAAATAAACAAAAAAGTATTTTTTAATCTAAAATTTTGTTTAAAAAAAGCATTTTTTTGTATTTTTTCTATTTAAGTTTATATTCGAGTTTTTAGGCCATTTTCTTTCGTTGAATAAATATAAAATTTATAAAATAAAGAATTTGTAGATAACAATTGAAAATTTACACATTGAGAAGAGAATTTTTAAAAAATTACGATGCACTTTATAAAATCTTTAGAGAATTCTCTTCTAATTGACTCCATTAAGAGATAATTTATTGCTTGGCACAATTTAGTTCTATGAGGAATGATACGGCCCTCATTTACAATATTAATTACGCACAATTGTAAGAATTCCATTAAGGATAGTGCACATTATGTCGAAGATTATCATAAATTGAAGCGAGTCCTTTACTTTTTATTAATTTATTTTCTGTTTATTTAAATATTTCAGCATTTATTTAACTATAATTCTCATTTTTAATCCTAAAAAATCCTTTTGTAAAGCGAGATTTCTCTTTAAGAAAATAAGTACCTCATCAGAAAGATCCAAAACTAGATTTTACTTCCAAAGAAAAATATTAAAGGAATGAAAATATCAGAAAACAGAGTTAAATTCATAATAAGATACAGGATAAACTTCATTATTTTTACTAAAGTATAAAACTTTCATTGCATTTTTACATTTGGAAATGATGCTAAAAGATGCAGACGTCGAGTATCTCTCGGTAATGCATTTGAAAGGAAAATTATAAGGCACACAAAAGAAGATTAATATCTTCTTTTATTTAAAAAAAAATTCAAAATTTCATTCGTAAGATTAATCTCTTCCTTATTTTTCATGCGTAATGATCCAAAAAATCTATTCTTCAACTAAAGAACTTCCATAATAAAATTTGGAAAAATGTCATTTAATGCTAAAGATATAATTATCCGGGGTTAAAAATAGACTTTCTAAAGGAATTTTGAGTAATTATCAGGGATTAAACATCATTTTTTTAACTTCAATAACTATACCTTGAAGTCAAAGAATGATGTTTTCATTTAAGATCCTTGCAGCATCCAAGAAATATAATGATTCAAGAGACTAATTATACCTTTTTAAAAATAAAAGTATATAATTAATTTTATAAAATTATATTAATTACGTACATTTATACGCATTAATTTTTTATAAAATTATTCTACTTGGTTATTAATTATTTATATATTTATTATTAAAAGTTATAGATTCATGAATGTAAAATTTTAGGAAAGAAAGTTTTCTTTTAAAATCTAAAAAATGCATGAATTTTTCTCTCTAAAATCAACATTTTACTTTTGATTTTCTTTTTTTTTCTTATCCATTTGTAAACATAAATAAAGTGATGCGGGGGATGAGATAAAGCATCTTTATATAATTTGTGGGTTTGTGTTTGTGCTCGTAGGTGTATTTTCTATATAGTTTCAAGTTATATTTTATGAATGTCTCTAGATTAAAATTTCGCTTGATTAAATAACAATTTTTTTCTTATGTACTGTACAACTGGTATACAGCATCTCTCTACGTTATCTTCAATTGCAACTGTTAACGATGTAGCAAATGCACGTATCGAGAGAAAGACATTCTCAAAACTGTACAAAAACTATAATAATATAAACATATAGTTATATTTTAGTGAAGTAAATAAATAATAAGTAAGAATAACTTCTAAAAATCGAATTTCAGAACTTAATTTAGCTAGACTAGATAGGTAGAGTAGATTATAGCAGTTAAAGTTGTGAAGATTTGTATAATGATTGGGTTTGTATAAGAATATTTTTAACTAAAAGAGTATCAAAAGTATATAATTTAATAGATTTAGTTTGATTTTTTTGTTGTAAATTTATAGTTACGAGTTATTGATTATTTGATGCGATTTTGCTTGCGAAGATAGTTGGAAAGAAAGATCAAATATTCTCCCATTAATTATTAATAAAAATAATAATCTTTCTTATAAATTCTATATTTATAAAATATAAAATATAAAATTAAGAGTAAACATCAT